CCGTCCCCCGAAGATGTCACTAACCCGCTGTCTGTTGCGCTACAACAACAACAACAACAACAACAACAACAACAGAGGACAGTGAGCCAGCGATGCGTGACGCTCTGAAGATAGAGGCCGAGTTCGATGCGCAGCACTCGGAGTCGCCGCAATACTCGGCGGCCAAGGCGTACCTCTCGTGCGTGCGGCAGCTGGCGATCGAGGGGTGCCCCGCCGTAGAGACGCTGGACGCGCTTTCTGAGGTCTACAAGCGCGCCTTCCGCAGGTATCTACACTACTGTAGAGTACAATACATTTCGGGAATGAATCTGAAATGTGTCCGGGTTTTCTAGGTAACCCCCACAGACTGTTGAGGTATTTTGAGTTTGTGGGTGTCAGTCGTGCCTGGCGCTGCGTTTACCTTGGTGCCGTGAGGCCCTGTCGGTGCATTCGTTTCGCGTGTCGTATATATACGTCCCGATTTATCTCGACGGGTGCTAGGCTCGGGCGAAATGCTGTACGGTGTAGGGGGGAGGAGGGCATATGCGTACTCGTTGTGTCACGCATCTCAGTCGCTCCTCCTAGTTGGTGCCAGTCGTTTGTCCACAGTACCAGGTTTGTCATAAAAAACGTCTTCTCGCAAGAATCCCAGGCTCAGATTGATGAAAGAAAAACGGCGTAGATATTGAGCCCCGCCGCCGGAGTCGTCGAGATACGGCAAGGCTTTTTAGCGTTGCACAAAATCGGCGTTTCGTATGAGTGGACCTGCGCCAGCACTGCTGTATTGGCACTGCATTGTTGTGTACTCTTCCTGTGTGCCGCGCGGCCTTGTTTTCCTGGCTGCCCCTGAGCCTCTCAGCGCGATTATCTTCTGCGTGCCCCCGCCCCCCTCCCTCGTTTTCCAACCCGCGCCACCTCCCTCTTGCTGTTACACGCTTCTCATCCACCCCGTCGCTCATGTCGACTCTACACCCTCGAAGGGTCGCGGGGGTCCTCTCGGACTTCGGGTGCACCATCGCCCCCGGCGACGAGAGCGGCGGGAGGATAAGACCCGTGGACAAAGACATCTGTCTGTCAATCCTCGACTACGCCGTCCCCGCGCGAGAGCAGGAGGGGACCACGCCGACGAGGGCGCTCAACACGCTGGTCAACCGCGTGGTTCGCACGGTGTGCGTGGGCTCAGACGAAGACCTGCAGGTGGGTCGAGCAAGAGGGTATGAAGATTACCCATATGTTTTCTGAGTCCCTTGAAAGCGGTGACTTTCAAGTTCTACAAGCGGAGGTAATTTTCCTCTCTCGATACTAAGAGGCAAGGAATGCCGAGCGTGGCCGAGGTTGTATGTAACCTCGGACGACCTAGATTCAAGAGAGGGTGAGAGTATTGTTTCGTGGGAATGATTATTGAAGCGTCTGCCGAGTATCTTGCCACCGTCAAGCCTCTGTACAAGCATCACGACGGCATCGTCAACAACAACAGCAACAACAACAACCACGGCCTCAAACCCTATGCGATATCGACAACGCTCCGCTCCACAACGCCAGGCGCTTGCCCGGGAGATGGAATCCAAGCACACCAAGTTCATGACCAAGTGCTTCGGGAAGGGCTCCTGGCAGGGCACCCAGGAGGATATGTTCTACCACGCCCTCATCAACCTGGTGAAGCACGGACTGACCGACGAGGGAGTCCCGGCGCTGAGCGGCGCGTACCTCAACTCGTACGAGAGGCTCATGGGCATCCTGGTGCAGGAGGTGGGCACCCGGAGCACCCCGGCCAGCGAGATGGTGCTGAAGAGCTTCTTGGCGTGGGAGAGGGAGATCCGGAAGGAGCTCACGGAACCGGCATGGAAGGTGTGTATGTGTGGTCTTGCGGGGCTGTTTTCTCGCTCGTGCAAACGCTGATATTTTTTTGTTCTCGAGGGGGCGCGATGAGATTAGCCGGGCGGAGCAGGGACGTCGTGGGCTACTGGCCCGTTTCTGTTCTGCTGTGACGTCGCACTCTCTTCCCCTCGGAAACGGGAAGGCTTGACTTGGTTCCGCTGGTCGACGCGTGAGAGGCTTATTAGGTAGGAGGGATGTTAACGCCACAGATTGGAATCGTTTTTTCTCGTTTGAATCAAACGGCGAGGAAAGACAGGGCTACCCCAGCACCTGCAACGACGCCCATCCCTCATCACGACTTTGTTGCACTGCTTGCCAACCCGGCCGGCCCCGCAAACCTCTCAAACTTCACCCCAGGCTCCCCTCCTGCAACATCCCATCCCTCGACGATTTTGTCGATACTATTTGTCAACCCCGCCGACCGGCCCCGATAGTCCAGAAAACCCCTCAACCCTCACCCCCGCCCCGGTTTCCTTCCTTTCCTCTCCCGCTGCTGACCAGTCGAGACCTCCGGACCTTGTTGGGTCGT